GAGTTAAACACAAATACTCAGAGTTAAACACAAATACTCAGAGTTAAACACAAATACTCAGAGTTAAACACAAATACTCAGAGTTAAACACAAATACCCAGAGTTACACACAAAATACTGAGCATTAAAACACAAATACTCAGAACTACTCAACTCAAAGAAAACGTCAACAGAAAACAATTTGAAAAGAGAAAATAAGTTTTCTAAGAGAAATACCCATGATTATAAGAGATTAAAACATTATTCTGATGTTTTATTTAAAAGCTGTTTCTGATGAAATAAGTGTCTCCACAGAAAGAAGACTTACTTATCAAACTTGTGGATTTGCTCCTCGTTGTACGGCAGACCTGACGACACAAACAGGAAGTTAACTTTGGTCTCGTTTTATTTCATCAGGTTCAGATTCAATCCAGACTCACGTCTTTCTGCTTTGTCCTTCTTGAACTGCTGGTAGATGGCAGTGATGGCTTCCAGCAGCACTTTGATTTTCTCCACGCTGCAGACACTCAGAGTCAGAACCAGAACCAGAACCAGAACCACACACAGTGAGCTGCAGCAGAACCTTACTTCCTGTCCTCGGGGTGCGTTCCAACTTGTTGAGTCCAGCCGTCGGTCAGCAGGCCTGCAGACAGGAAGTGCTTCTTGATGTCCTGAGAAGTTCTCTCCACAGGTTCCAGAGAACCTGAGATCTGCAACATGTTGGACTGAGGTCAGGAACACGTCTGACATGGTGCTCAGGTTCTGACAGGACCTGAACTGGACCTCAGCTCTGCTGATGAAGAGGAGGAGGATGAAGGGGGCACTCACCCTGACCACCTTCTTGTGCATGTCTGAGATCTCATCGTACTCTGATGACATCATGTTGGCCTGCATCACAACCCCGAACCTGCAGAGGACAACACCTGATTCTGGTTCTGACCACACCCAGGACATCTACAGGTCCCACAGACCCTACAGGTCCTACAGGTCCTACAGGTCCCACAGGTCCTACAGGTCGTACAGGTCCCACAGATCCCACAGACCCTACAGGTCCTACAGGTCCCACAGGTCCCACAGACCCTACAGGTCCCACAGACCCTACAGGTCCCACAGGTCCTACAGGTCCCACAGGTCCCACAGACCCTACAGGTCCCACAGGTCCTACAGACCCTACAGGTCCCACAGGTCCTACAGGTCCCACAGACTCTACAGGTCCCACAGGTCCTACAGGTCCTACAGGTCCCACAGACCCTACAGGTCCCACAGGTCCTACAGGTCCTACTCAACTCAGACCTGACAAAATACAGGACAGCTGGCAACCCTACCTGGACCTGTAGGACATGTAGGACCTGTGGGACCTGTAGGGTCTGTAGGACCTGTAGGACACCTGATGTGGTCCAGACTCACAGCTGCTCGGTCTTCTCCAGGGTCTGGGTGCAGTAGTTACAGAGACGGAACACTTCGGACTTCTTGTGCAGGATCTCACTGTAGTCCTCCTTCATCAGCTCTCTGTGGACAGAGGACAAACTGTCAGAGGGTTCCTGCTGGACCTGCTGGACCTGCTGGACCTGGGACATCCAGACTCAGTACCAGAACCAGACTGCAGACTGGAGTCACTGATAAAAGCTTTTATTTTGAAATGTTGGGAGGACTCACATGAGTCCTCGGACTCCTTTCCGCACCAGTTCCTGATAGACCAGCAGAGACTCGGAGGTCTTCCATAAATGGGCCACATCACCTGCAAAGGTCTGAAGAAGAAGAAGAAGAAGAATAAACCCACCAACCCAAGAACTGGTCCAGCTGGTTTCTGGACCTGTGTCAGACTCAGGTCCAGGTCCTACCTTGGCGTAACTGGCGTCCAGGTCCAGGTCGTAGCGTGGCTGGACTTTAGGAGGACTCGCTGTGGAGACAGGGACAGAGTCTCAGACCAGCTGCACCTGACTGAGCTGTGGGAGACAGGAAGTGGTCTTACGGTCTTCAAAGATCAGTCCCACGGTGGCCACGCACTCGCGGCTCACCAGCATGATGGGGTTGTCCCTGGACGTCTCGGGGAAGGTCTTGGCCTGCCGGTTGGGGTCCAGGACGAGGCGGCGTCCCTCGTACAGCAGCTCCTGGTGGTGCTGGGGGATGCTGGTCCTGCGGCACAGCAGCTCCAGGAACAGCGCCGCCCTGTGGACACAGGAGGGACAGCGGGTCAGACTCCCAGCAGGGGGCGGAGCCAGCGTCCTRGGGGACCCGTCTTACGTGTTGTACTCGTGGATGTAGACGTGGTGCAGCGTGGCCTGCTGCAGGCTGAAGACGTAGACCACAGTCCGGTGCAGGATGTCGTTGGTCTCAGCGAAGAACTGATCGAAACCCCAGCACTTCTCCTGGTCCGCCTCCAGGATGTTGGCCAGGACCGGAGTCAGGAGGCTCTGAAGACCCCTGAAACAAGCCCAGAGGACAGCGTGAGGACCTGCAGCAGTGGACACTCAGGTGGACCTACAGAGTCCTTATGGTCCTACTTGGACAGACTGCAGGACACCGGCATCTCTGAGCTCCACTCGATCTTCCCGTTCTCACATTTCTGATGTCCAGAGATGGTCCCCGAGGGCTTCTCTGTGATGATCTTATACCTGGGACAGGGGACAGGGGACAGGGTCAGGTCAGGGTCAGATCAGGGTCAGAACCGGTCCCCGTCCCCTGTCCCCACAGCACAGCAGCTCTTACATGACCTCCTTGTTCCTGCGGGGACCCTCAAAGGGTCTGAAGGGCAGGCTGCCCGTGGCAGCGTGGTAGAAGGTGACCCCGATGCTCCACAGGTCCACAGTGGCCCCGTACTTCTTCTGGTGGTCCTTCCTCAGGACCGCCCGCTCGTACATGTCAGGGTGCTGCAGGTAGACCAGACTCAGGTCAGACAACACCTGCCTGGACAGGTGAGTGTCTGAGGACAGGTGTGTTTGTAGACAGGTGTGTGTTTGTAGACAGGTGTGTTTGTAGACAGGTGTGTTTCTGAGTACAGGTGAGTGGACAGGTGAGGGGTCTCACCAGGTACTCCTCGGTCCCGTACAGGGACACAAACTGCTCGTCGTCCTCCAGCTCTCTGGCGGCTCCGAAGTCGGTCAGCTTGTAGACGGAGCGTCCGTCCTCTCCGATCACCCTCATGATGTTTCCAGGTTTGATGTCTCGGTGCACGATGCCGTACTCTCTCAGGTGATTCATACCTGCCACTGCAGGACACACCGGACGTCAGGTGAGCGGACCACCTGGACCCCTGCAGGTCCAGTAGAACAGGACTTACCCACGTCATGGAGAACTATGAGGAACTCGTCCTCTGGGAGTCCGTAGGCGTTGGTGGACTCCTCCAGGACGGTGTAGAGGCTGCCGCAGGGACAGTACTCCATGACCAGGACCTTGTGACGGGTGTTGGTCTGAAACAGAGACAGGGTCACACAGTCAGGACCGTCACTGAGGACAGGGTCAGGACCGTCACTGAGGACAGGGACCAGGACCGTCACTGAGGACAGGGACCAGGACCGTCACTGAGGACAGGGACCAGGACCCGGTCCATACGGACCTCCTCCTCCACAGCAAACAGTTTGACGATGTTCTTGTGGTTCAGCTTCTTCAGGACTTCAAACTCTCTCATCTGGACGTCCAGAGGACGCAGGAAGCTCAGGTTGTTGAAGACCTTGACGGCGTACAGGTCTCCAGTTTTCTGCACACAAACAGGATTAAAGCGGACCTGAAGGATCTGCWGGRAGAACCRGTCCAGACGAGACCTTTGATCAGAGTCAAACAGCTCAGCTGGACCAGGACCAGAAGGTCCAGGATCCTGTCCTACCTTGTGCCGTCCTCGGTAAACGTTGGCTGTGGCTCCCTGACCCAGCAGGTCTGAGATCAGCCACAGGTAGTTGGTGGTGCTCTGCATCCTGACCCTGGACCCACAGAAACCCTGAGTCAGCAGAACTCATCAGGACCGGATCAGTACAGCTCATCAGTGATCAGCTCACCTGCAGCGGCTCTGCTCCGGAGGGTTGGATCTGATGACTTCAAAGGTTCTGAATCATCCGGGTCTTGGGTCTAACTGAAACGATGACTCAGCGTTTGATCTGAAACTGAACAGAACCGACCCAGATTGATTTCTGTGACACCAGAACTGAAGAGCTTCAAAAACAAAAATATAAAACAGCCGAAGAAAATAAATCCAGACAGCTGAGCTGGTTCTGAAGGTTTACAGGAACAGAACCCGGTCACCTCAGAACTTTAAAAACAAGCAATAAAACCTTCAAATCAACCTGGGAACAGACGGGAAACCAGGACCTGGGTTCTGGACCGTTTGTAGGTTCCAGTGAAGATCCAGACCTTTGAGGAGACCTGACTTCACCTGAACGACGAGTCAGCAGAATTTAACCTGGGTTCCTGACAACAGAGACTAAAGACATCCTGTTCAGGTCTTTAACAGGTCTTCATGTAGACCAGCTGAAGAGGGTCCATTCAGTCCCACGGAAACCTGGACCTCCTCACTAATAAAACTGGATCTTAAACTCAACAAAACAGCAAAGGACCGAGACCAGACCCCTGAGGGACCCCACAGGTTCCAGGAACCGTCCCCCAAATGAACCGTAAACTCCTGTCAGTCTGGTCCGGTCCAAATCAGAATCAGAACCAGAACGTCACTTTGTTTCTACGGGATCAATCTTGTGCCAACAGGAAGTGAATCTGAATGTTCAGAATTTAAACTGAATTTAAAGTTTTGTATCTGAATTAATTTACTTTGAAACTGTATTTTGGTTTATTAAAACTTCAGTTTGACTACTTTCACTTTCAGTTCCATAATTCAGATGTTTGTGTCACATCCTGGTCCTTGAGAAGGCCAGGCAGAGTAATCAAACACAGATCCACAGACTGATCAGATGCTGCTGACTGATCCACGACACCATCGCTCCTTCAAACTCAGGGATCTGGGTCTGAGCAGCTCCCTGTGCAGCTGGATCCTGAACTTCCTGACGGGTCGACGGCAGGTAGTAGGGTCATCATCCACACTAACCCTCAGTATCGGAGCACCTCAGGGCTGTGTGCTCAGCCCACTCTTATTCCCTGTWCACCCATGACTGCACAGCCAGACACAGCTCCACCATCATCATTAAGTTTACTGATGAAGCTGCGATCGTGGTCCTGATCTCTGAAAACGGGTCGGCCCACAGAGACGAGGTGAACATCCTGACTAACTGRTGCCAGGAGAACAACCTGTGTCTAAACGTCAGCAGACCAAGGASCTGGTGACAAAGGTTTGAATGAGAAGAAAACTGAGGTCATGTGTTCTGAGACATGGTATCCCTCTAATGATGACTCCATCAAAGATCTTCATAAACCTGGGGTCCAGCTGGACAGTGATCTTAGACCTGATAAACAAATAAGAGCAGTGGTCAAATCCAGCTTTTTTCTTTTAAGCCAGCTGGTTTTAGTCAAGCTCTATGTTTCTAGAAAGAACTTTGAGGCAGTAATCCAGTCCTTCGGTTGGACCACTGTAGTGGACTTTATGTAGGGGTCAGTCTGTGCTCTCCTCCAGAGGGTCCGAAATGCTGCTGCTCATCTTTAACTGGTACAAAGAGCATGAGCCCACTTCCCTGTTAGCCTCACTGCACTGGTTCCTGTTCAGTTTAGGATTCATTTTAAACTTTAAGATTTGTTTTTAAAGCATTAAATGGTCTTCACTAGTTTACCTGACTGAGCTGCTGGACCCCCTACACCCCCTCTAACCCCTGACTCGACAACATGTTGACGCTTTTCAACTTCCCTCTGTCTTATTTTGACTCGTCAGGTGACTCCCTCACGTCAGGTGACCCCCTCATGTCAGGTGACCCCCTCATGTCAGGTGACTCCCTCACTTCAGGTGACTCCCTCACGTCAGGTGACTCCCTCACGTCAGGTGACTCCCTCACGTCAGGTGACCCCCCTCATGTCAGGTGACTCCCTCACGTCAGGTGACCCCCTCATGTCAGGTGACCCCCTCATGTCAGGTGACCCCCTCACGTCAGGTGACCCCCTCACGTCAGGTGACTCCCTCATGTCAGGTGACCCCCTCATGTCAGGTGACCCTCTCGTGTCAGGTGACCCCCTCATGTCAGGTGACCCTCTCGTGTCAGGTGACCCCCTCATGTCAGGTGACCCTCTCGTGTCAGGTGACCCCCTCGTGTCAGGTGACCCCCTCACGTCAGGTGACCCCCTCGTGTCAGGTGACCCCCTCACGTCAGGTGACCCCCCTCATGTCAGGTGACCCCCTCACGTCAGGTGACCCCCTCGTGTCAGGTGACCCCCTCACGTCAGTCCTTGCCGCCCACGGTTTCTCCAGGTTGCGTCACCAGGGGTCTATGTGTCGGGGGTCTGAGGTCAACATGAGGGATCAGGGTTAATGGTTCAGTTCAGGTGCTGGTTCAGGGACAGGATGTCTACAGAGAATATTAGATAATTTCAGACTTTGGGACGTAGTTTTTGTACATTTTCTACACTTTCTGAAATTATGACAACAGATTCCGACACATCTCATCAAGAAACGACACAAAGGAAGTACCTGACGCGTCCCGATCAGACGCAGAGGGAACTCTGGAAAAGTGTCAATATGTGACGAGTCAGCAGTGAGAATGGGTTTCCCCCTCCTGTCTCTCAGGTCAGCAGACCAGCAGGTCCTGAGGATCCCAACAAGTACAGGTAAGAAGCTGGCTTTAGGCCTCAGACAGGCCACGCCCCTGTCAGCTTTAAAAACACTGAAACCATCTGTTCTCTTTGGCTCCATCTGAGGTGTTGACTTTTACTTTGTTTTGAGATTATTTTCATTTGATTTCATTAGTTTTCTGTGTTTGTTTATTGTATGGTTTTAATTTTTGGATTGACTGTTGTGTGTTTTACTGACTGTACCTGTACAGGTCCTACGGTTGTTTAAAGTTTATAAATAAAGTTGGTTCAATAAAAACAGCCAACAACACCTCAGACGGCTGAGAGTAGGTATGAAACCCCACATCAACAGGACCTTCTAACATCCTCAGGACCTTCTAACATCCTCAGGACCTTCTAACATCCTCAGGACCTTCTAACATCCTCAGGACCTTCTAACATCCTCAGGACCTTCTACACCTGCACTGTGGACACATCCTCAGGAAGCATCAACACCTGGGGTGGAACTGGACTGGACCTTCAGAGCAAGCAGGGGTCTCTGTGGACGAGTGGGTGTGTCCCAAGGAAAGGCGATTCTAAAGCCACACACCTGATTTGACAGACTTTGTTAAAGGGACACACCTGATTGGACAAGAACAAGAGGGGCGTTACTGTACAGCACCACTTTTTCTGGAGAACCCTACTTGGGTCACGTCTCCTGGTTGACCTGAGTGTTGGGGTCAGAGTCAGGGTCAGGGTCAGGCTGTGAAGAGGTCAAACAGGGTCTGAGGATACTGTCATGTAGACCTCGTAGACCACAGTGTTTATGCTTTAGACACGCCCACTTTGATTCTGCAGATAACCCCTTCTCTGACCAGGACCAGGACCAGGGCCAGGACCAGGACCAGGACCAGGACCAGGACCAGCACCAGGACCAGGACCAGG